TACCGCCGTCTCGTTTACCTCTCTCGTTCATTATAACCTTAATTTATTAGAGGATGTCTTATATTCATTGTGAAGAAATGTTTTGTTCATAATTCATTTAGGTAGTAATGAATAATAAAACGTCCGACGGGTTATTGTAAATATAAAATACAATTTAGTACTTCACCAAGGTTCGTTGTGTATATTAGAGAGTAGTAGGTAAGTTTTGTTTATCTCAACTTGTTACTAGTGTTGCCAGATTTCCAGTGTCTAATTTAGAGTTCTGACCGCCATAGGCTGATTAATTTGAAATTACCCCTCTTGCCCAGCCCTTCATGGGCTTTATTCAGCAAGTTTATAGTTACTACGCCAGCAGTCCTTGGATCATCTATATATCTCTATTTTTAGCCTATTTGTATATCTCGGTGTAAAAGATATTTCCTTTTCTTCTGTGCTGGAAAAATACTGAATTTTTTGTCCCGCTGAAATGTAATCCGGCAACCCTACTTTCCACCCAAAAAATAATATTAGAACTGATTTCATTGAAGTATTTCCGTAAATATAATAAAATTATGCTTATCTAGAGGTGAATCAAAATGGTATTGACCACGAAAGTCTGACGCCATCTTTCCAGAGTGCCTGCAATTTACAGCTTAAGAGCCGTCGTATAAAATACCACTTTAATTGAAACGATTTTAAATTTCTGACTGAAGGTTATTAGAAAGCCAATATTTATTTATGACAACCAACTTCTAGGTAAACCTAGACGATATATAGGTATCAATAAATTCGCATGAGCAACATACTTCATCAATGATGCTATGCATGCAATGAAATGTTATAATGCCTATAATTTTTGAGGCATATAAATGTTAAATCATTCGTATAAAGATATCTAAATTTAATTAAATACGTTACATGTACATATATAATACGTCCAAAACTGATAAAGTGGCTCAATCAGCCGTCTCTTTATTAATTAGTGACTATTTCCTGCGATAAATTGAGATTATAAATTTCACTTCAAGTATTTATCCACATTTTAAGAAATTGGTTGATATATAATTTGCTGACGCTATTGTCACAAAGTTATGATGTCTATGTGACGTATTTTTTTCTTTATTTGTTAATCCTGTGATAAATTTATTAAAACAAACACTATTTATTTTTTACAGTTATAAATTTCTAATTTTATATGCTTGCCAAAGAAATTAAATATCTTCTTATCTCTATCTCTCGCTGAAATAAATTACCAAGGCGGATTTGTAGATACCCAGATTAGCACGTTCGAACAAACAAACTTGATTAGATTTTTAACGTTAGTATACACTTCTAAAATATTATATTCTTAAATCGCAATATGTTTTATAAAGATTTAATCCTTATTTCAAGTCATTATTTTTTATGAAAAAAAATGTAGTGACATCAATCTAATATATGTTTTTACGTCATTTAAGAAATGTAGATATGATAAACATTTAAAAAAAGCTTATTGTAAAACTGACTGTACTCTGGAAAGATCATACATTTTAATGATTTAGATTACTATTCAGACAGAGTGCGTCGCTATATTAGTGTTTTATCTACGTCAATGCAATTTTTTCCCATTTAGAATATATATAACCTTCTAATCAAAAACTACTCAGAATGCTTTACCTAAGATACCTGCAAAATCTTTTTTTATTCGTAAGTCAGAGCTTGTTTGAGCTTAAAAAGAGCTTTCTTAACAAGAAGTTATGTTGTGTTCTGCGAATTTAATTGAATATAGATTTAATGTAAAAGCCTCAGATCATACTTTCTGTACAAATGTCTGAGGTGAAAGCAATGATTTGGTTCATTCCGTTCCTAGAACTGAATAATACGACTTATTAAAAATTAAGGAACTTTACCTCGTCTATCTGTCCATCGTCGTGTATAAATCAGAGAAAGCATCTTGATGTTTCTTTGAATTCTATGCAGGCCGTTTCTTAAATGTTTTAAGCATGAGACGAAATGAAAAGCGAATTGGGATAAGAGTGTTGAAAGTGTTGCAAATTCAGCTTTGTATTGATGTCGCCAAAGAATCGTATTGAGGTCATCGTGTTGAGGTCCGTAGATCCAAAGAACGTATTTCTTTGGAGTTTATGATTTTGAAAGCATTTATGTATGTATGAATGTATACTTCGGAACTAACCAAAAATATCGAAAATAAACTAAAGTCTTAAATCCAAAAAATCATTACAGAGTACAAACATAACCAAGGATTTGTGAACTTATTCTTTGATTGTTGTGACACTACGTCAATAAAAGTTAACATAATTGGGTATAGAATAAACGGCCCATTAGTGTTGATGTTTGCATATAAATAAAGGCATGCTAGCGCTATGCTCAATTAGTACCATTCAATATAACAAATGATTCTTATGTGACTATTTATTTAAAATTATGTGACATATTGCTTGCAATGGCCATGTCATTCTATTTATTTAAGAAAGGATGACGTATTATTTTGACATGGTTACTAAATGTTTGTTTTTAAAACTAAGTAAAAATTGGATCTCATAACTTTAACTGTAAGTAGATGAAGTATGTCGCGACTACCTAAACGATAGGTTTTTATATGTTAAGCTTTTGATATGGTTTCATTTACTTTTGTAGATAGGTATATAAGAAGGAAATATTGTTAGTTGATGCAGCCAGCTATATTCATTATTCATCTAGCCTTAATCTCTCTTTAGATGAGTGCTGAAAAAGTTTTACTCATCACAAAAAAGAATTGCCATCGCATTCTTAATTTATAAAACTACAAAATTACTCATGCAGGTGGTTGGTCAAATAAAAATTGTCTCAAAAATTTGAAAGGTGTGTCCTCACACACATTTCAAATTTAAAAATTTTCAATGAACTTTTGGTCATTTAAAATTCAGGCATATAACCTTATCACACTAATATTATAAAGGAAAAAGTTCGTGGGTATTTGTGTTTGTATATTTGTTATTTTTTGATAAAATTTGGTTTAAAGGTAGGCTACTATTTATTAGAAAAAATGTAGTGCTCCTGGAGGGAAGTCGAAAGGAGTTAAAATATATTTAATAAACTGCGGGTGTTTGAAAAACAGTGGATCGAAAATGACATGAATGTCTTCGAAGAAAGGAGGTCATGGCCGAATCTTTATTTTTGTTTGCTCAACAATATCAGATAAACAAGAAATATGTTGGCGTTGTATTGTTTAGAGATGCGTACTTACTTAATTAAAGATGTAGACATATAAGACGACTAATACTATTCCTCAACAAAAATATTTTGAATTAAAAATGTGTTTCGCGTCTAGTAAAACGGAGATTAGGTTATGCTTCTACAGATACATTTAGAATAATTATAGGTTTTAAATTAAAGTTGTATTTTTTTTATTTGAAATATAACCTGGATAGACATCAGATGTCATCTCTTCACATCCTGTCTGCTTCGACCTCAGAAACATTTTTGGATCCAGCTATCTCGATTTCGATAACAGGGCCACCACAAGATTTGACTAAGTCTTTGACAAATTGTTGTTTGATATACTTTTACAGATATAATTTAATTTGCAAAAGCTTTGAACATGCAAACTTTATCCAAATTAAGATTAAATCTGAAAATTGAGCCCGAATATACGCAACATATAAACTAAAATATGTATTTTCTTAAATATTTAATGTTTGATGAATTTGATCATATTAATGTTAAAAACTTCCCAAAATTATGTATTCGGTATTTATGTCGTTAGGTCTCTAGATTACTGAGAAAAAATAGACAGACACTCCAAAACAACCAGATTTGAGAACTTGCTAAAATTATTTTCAATTAAAAATAAGGCCTAGGTTTATAGAGACTCGATGCCTCCATATCTAAATGTGTCTTTAAATTTTGAATTAACAAATTCGCATTAGATAGCTGCTAAATATAGAAATAGAATAGGAAACAAATATTTTTTAATCCCAATGAAGACAGGAAACAATAATTTATACATGAATAGAGCGTTCTGGAAGATACATGATGATAAGGGTTTCCCCCTTCCAGAACGATAAAACAAATCTAGTGCGGATTTGAAACTACTAATAAGTAATGTTAACAGTAACTGTACAAGGTACAAATGTAAAATTATAGTTTAATTTTAGAGATAAAAAGTATCAAAATATAACAACACGGGCTCGTCCGGGATTTGAACCCGGGACCTCTCGCACCCGAAGCGAGAATCATACCCCTAGACCAACGAGCCGTCATGTAGTCTCGCGAAAATTGTAGTCTAAACAAACTCTCCGCTAGTCTCCTATCAGTGACGTCGCATTAGGTTGTCATATTCATCTAGATTTGTTATGACGAATTGATACTAGATTGATTAGAACATAAGTACAGTAATTAGTGCATGTACTTCGTAGACTATTTTCAGGCATTAAAATTATTTCCAAGCGTCAAATGACATGTAAAACATTTCATACGAGAAGAACTCTACTTGATTCTACATTCTCTATACTAATAGAGTTAAAAGAAATCATCATAACTGGCCGCTATTACCGAATACTTATTATAGAACACAAAATGCCAATGATCCCCTTAGACCACTTTGCGAGATGAAAAATAAATGATACAATTTTGCCAGATTTACCCACCAAGTACAATATACAGGAAATAACGGCCATAATCGTGAGCTGTGTTAATTCTACTCCAGCCGTTATCGACTCATGCAAGAAAAGTAAGAGAGAGAGAATAACAGTATACAGTGGTAGTGCCGAGGTGCCACTCCAACTAAACTACTGGATATTTTTGCTCATCTCAAAGAAATATAAAAAACGCTTTTAAGAGCTGTTATGAAAGAAATGAATGAGATTGTGAAGACGAGGCAGAGTCGAATGCTTGCGAATTACGTCAGTATTTGAACGTAACACCTACTCTGAAAACTAGAGCTTGTAGAGAAGCTTTGCTGGCAATGCCTACAATTTGGATTGAAGAGGCTATAGTGAGTGATATCTATTATGAGTAGGCGAGTGACACCCAGGACACTGCTATAGACAAGGCGTTAGAGAAGTGAATGTGGTCGATAATAGATTGATAAGTGTAGAAGGTAATTCTGGCAAAATCACCTCGTGCGGTGGCTCCAGGTCGTCATCCGGCGGCGGCGCGTCGGTGGGCGCCCGCCACTGCCGCCCGCTCCTGCCCCACATAACAACAATATCAACAAATGCCTACAATACAGAACTACACGATACCAACTAATTCACACATATCTTTCTAAATACATATCAACTCCAAAAGGTAAATTGGTCGTTTTATCCCTCATCATATTGTCCATGGTTATCTACGATTCGTAACAGAGATTAGTGTTAAGTCGTGGAATAGCTTTATACCACAAAAACCACACATTAATGTCATAAACCGCAAGCTTGAGTGTGTTTTTTTTTGTTATTGTTATACTAAGACTGAATTAATATATGGCTTCAAATGCCTGTTACTTATACTGTCAAATTCAATTTAAATAAAAAGTTTGCTGATGATTGCGGTTTGTAATGATAGTATCATTTGCAGCTATCAAAATCTTAGACATAATAATAAAAATCAATAACCCACTGCTATAAAAACATTATCAATGACATTCATTACAAAAATTAAATTTTATGCTACATATACATATATTATTCGTTCATCATCCGCGAGTTTAAATGTATCCGGAAATATAAAAGACTGTTGGTGAAAGACAACGCCCGCATTAGGAAGATATATCCTGTATCGCGGGGAACTTTACGAAATACATGGAACGGACATAAAAAACACCCGGACTAGTTATTTTTAATTTATCTATGGTTAAAGGCAATTACACGACTGAAAGTAGACAAACTAATTGTAATGTTGTTGATCAGATTGTAAATCAATTACTTTTTTAAAAGATCGCCAGAAATAATCATACAATAAAAAGTTTTAGCAAAATAGATTTCAAAAGTTTTATTCATTTTTTTATGATCATGACTATCACTGTAAGTATACTGTATTACATAGTAACGCAATCATCGTCATCATTTTAAGTCCCTGTTAAGTTACAGAAGGGCCGCTATAGATTTTTTCTATCCTAACGGCCCTGCGCAATTCTCATCAAGCGCGGTCTCGTTAATGATTAAGTATATCGAAATTTATAGAATGTAAATTACTTTATCATTTTTTTATCGTTCCTTTATAGAATCTTAAGCGTCATTGGTGGATCGATTTTTACTAGCAATAAATTTAGAACGGCCTTTTCAGACGCAGGACGATGGCAATAAACCGTTGGATGACAATAAATGGAAACATTTATGCTATCATAAGACAATCGATTCAGATACTAAATAAAAGCGGAAGTGTTTGGCGACCGGCCAATGAGATGCTCGGTTTTGCGGGAGTGAACGCTGAGACAAGGGCTTGTGGAAAACTGTGGGTTATTTTCTCAGTGAAATGTAAAAGAGCGGACGAAAACGAACGCTTGATGAGGACTCAGCCTTTGCTTTCGCACTTCAATGGTACTTTAACATTTAAGCGCCTTTATGAGGGCCCCGCTGGTTGTGAGGGATTTACGCCTCGCTCATTAAAGACCTGAGTTACCTTGAGCCCGTCGTGCTCCCAATTCAGTCACCGTTATTCTTCTTTCTTTTTTCCTATACCTTTTATATGAAAGACTAGCCAGTTACAGAAACAAGCTATGCAGAATTTAAGTAGATTGTAAAAAGAGTTGTCAGTCATATTTTGACGTCACCTGTACAAAGCATGGTCATGCGGTGGCAGGCCCAGGCCGGAATCTTCGGAAGGCGAGCGGTGGTCGGCTACGAGGGGTGCATCCGCTGGTACCTCCTATAACAATAACCCTGAACCTGACCCGACAGCCCCAACACTTTTCACTTTTAATGTAATGGACGCGGAACAATTCCCAACATTCATCTTTTTAAGTTTGTTAGCTACTTTTCCTAAATACTTGTAACTGGTTCCAATATAAATGCGTACATTTGAAGAAATTATTATTCATTTTTTATTAGAAACTAAGAGAAGATATATTGAAGAACTATTCCGTTCATTTAATCCTCCTTGGTACAGTGTAATGAGAATGTGAGACGTATAGCTTCAATTTTCGCTAAAGGGGTAAAATAGGCTAGGATTTCATAATACAGTTTTTTGATTATCATGACCTTAAGTAAAAGATTACACATAGGAACTATTTATAAATAAAGCTCAATCTACTAGAAAGCAATCAAACTATGACATCGATGGAGCATGCAACGACAGGAGCGTACCCAGCCATCCAGAGTTTAAGGGTAATCTTTAGAATTACTAAATATTTAGGAAACTAGAGAAAATAATTTCGAATATCTGTGTACGTCCTTGTTTATATGTTATTGTGTAAAAGCTTGTGCACTTACCGGGTCGTGCAACTCATGCATCGTTGAAGAAGGTAGCATGTGACGTTCAGCGCCTCGCTACCGACAAATAGTAGGCATCAACTAAAATTCGTGCAAATAAATTTTAGTAGGGGAGCCCTAGAAGGGATTTCGGTATTTACTCGAGCATGGCAGATTAACATAAGGAGGAATACCTTACTCCCAGTTGAGTACCTCCACCATACATGAGCCCTACATTTAGGAGGGAGCGTCTAGGACAGCCCATCAGATCAGTTAAAAAAAACGATGGCCAGAACTACTCGAGCGTGTGAGATTAAGCTAAGTCAAAGTGTATTTAAAAAAAATGACGATTTTTTTTAACACACTGTAAAGCAGTGGGAGGGTCACAAAGTACCAAAAAAACACATGACCTTGACATTTTTTTTATTGTGAAGCAAACAATGCAAGAAATCTTCTTTAAATGTCTACATACTTTTTGTGCCTTTATTTGTCACATTTTATAAAAACAAAAAGGAATATTTCAACCCGTCAGATTTAAAATACCCTGCAAAATTATCGTCAGATTTTTCGTGGACTCTCCTACTATTTGCACTAAATGTAAAATATTTAAATTACAAAACTTCTGTACTAAGTTGTTTTACAATAACTGTGTATCTCTGTGTGGTCTACTGATGTAAATTTTAGTGTATTGACAATATTGTGAAAGTATTACTACTTATACGTTTCTGTGTCCATAGGCTTTATTTAGCAACTTATAATATAATCTTTAAAAAAATCATCACATGGTGTTTGTGTTGAATGTGGACACGTGTTTGTTTTTTAAATTCATAATTGCAACTATAGTTAAACCGCCCGCCGTTAGTTAACCGTTAAGCTTGGCCCTCCTGATGGTTTGCGGGACGCGGGGCGGGTGATGCGCTCGGCTATACATGACACGATGTACTAACTCGATATCTTCAGATTTATTTGTTTGAGATTTAATCTACACACGATGTAATAAAAATCGAATTTATTTCCATGTATTATAATGTCAGTGTATTGTAAGTTTTTATGATTAATTGTAAAATTTAATACTGTAAAATAATTTTAATAAAATCACCTTATCTTCATCATGTAAATTATATTCAGATACAATTTAAAAATTAAGTGAAATAATAAATATTCTTTAGTAGAACTTCAAGTTTTTAAATATTTTTGTGACGCAGAGTCGGCAGATTATCCATGTTGCAAAATAATACCGTGTGTAGCAGTCTTAAGACAAATAACACGTACAGCCATACTTTCACGTCAGTCACTGCCGGCGGACAGCCACGCACTAGCTAATTGGTTGAATGCACCCCCGCCCCGCGTCCCCCAAACCATCAGGAGGGCCAAGTTTACGGCGGTTTAACTATAGAGGGTAATACAAATACTATCATGAGAATTGAATACACAAATAGACATGATTAAATAGAACTATATATTTATTCTATTGTTTTATGTTAGACATGTTCTATTTATCATTTTAATTATAAAATGTGTACAAAAGAAGCACTGAATTTCAAGGAGAATATTAGAGTGAAACAGGATTAGATTTGTAATCAAGTTTAAGATTTATGCAATTTTTAAATGTGAATCATGAATGTAAGCAAAGTCTAATTCAACTCCACCCAGAGTGGAGATAATTTACAAATTAATTAGTTATGCAATAAAACTCCTGATAAATCAGAAATGTTTTAACAACACGTGGCCTTGTCTACAGTTTATACGAATTTTTAGTCTTATTCTACACTAAATAACGAAAACACAACGAATAAACATTGTTTAAATTAAGTTAGTTAATTGGGGCAATGGGAGTGCAGCGCAAAATTCTAATAAGGCTCTTCCTGCAGGTGGAGCACAGATTATGGCATTTTAAAGAGAGCTGTTTAATAAACTTTATAGACATTATTTTTTATATTTAGTTCTGCTTAAAATGCATTGAAAAGTGGCGAATTCGTGGAAATGTTTAAAATTTTCAAGTTCATTCTAAAATGTAAAGATTAAGTTTTACTTAAAGTAAGTCAAGGAATAAAATAACATTTTTAGTAATTTATCCTTTTAGGAATATGACAAATTTATTACGATTCTTAAATCGGATGATGTATAACGTATTGTGATGAAATACAAAGACATAAAACATTAAATAATACGAAATTAAATAAAACATACGTTTTTTCGGCCAAATGAGGATAATTTTGACTTGGACTGATAAACAAGACTCGTAAGTCGATTATGTGTTCGCGTTGTGTAAGAAACTAGGAGTAAGAAAACAAAATTTTCAGTAGTTTCCTGATATGAATCGAATAAGAAACACAAATTCGTAATATACCTTGTTTGCATGATGCTCAACTGTCGGTTCCTCTCCTCGTCTATATACAAGCTCGTCGAACCTCGCCCTGTCCTCCGGTAACATAAACTCTCTTATTTCCGTAAGCAGCGTGTACTGCAAAAGGAATATACGTTTAATACATGGAAATTGAACACGAGGCTTAGAGAGATGCAGGCTTACGGATAAACTTTATCATAGCCACATGTGTTTTACATGTTTGAAACTCTTCATGTTCCTTAACACTGCAAATACTTGGCTAAGATCCAAAAAATTAAGTAGAACTTAATTTAGAGGATATATAGCCAGAAAATAAGATTTAGACGTTATCCATATATTACGTCATTCCGTTCAAAAATAACCTTTTTCTTTAATAGGACTTTTAGATCTTAAATACTATTATCCTTTTCATCATTCATCATTTGACATATTTAAACGATTTAGTAGTCTATAGCATGTAAAGAAATCATTAAATTAGATTAAGTATACGTAGAGTAATACATTTAGTCCCGTGTACAGTGTAATCAATAGAGCTTGCGAACATGGTAATAAGACCTCACCTTAAAGGACTTTTAAAAGGTTTTTTAAAATTTACTGAATTTTTGTGTCGTATGTTTGTAACGAGATATGATCGTCGATATCTATCTGTATTTCATGTTAGGTAAATTATGTATTGGCAATATTTTCAACTTAAACGTTATATTACTTTTATTATTCTAATAATGTTATTAACAAAGATTACGAAATCACACATCTTATGCAATTAGGCATGCAAATGCCAAGCGTCGGAAAAAAATAAAAACAATATGCTAAATTCTATTACTCACACAAATATGTCAAGACTACGCCTATTATTTAGTCCATACTTCATAAATACGTAGATAAAACTATGATAAAATATAATTTTAATCGACGTTTATCTAGTTGTGAAGCTCTAACTAGGCTAGGTTTCTGTGGTCAGTCAAAGAGAGTAAGTACGACTAGTGTTGGGTCAATAAAGCTTTAGACATTATTGGGACATAATGTTGCTATTGTGTAGTAATACTCTTTAGCAATATTATAATAGAATAAACATTGTTAATGGGTAGAAATCTTATAGGTATTGTATTAATTAATGTAAAGTTTTTCAAAGGTCAATCTTTTTTAAACAGTAAAAAAATTTTATTGCTTTGAAACACTACGTTCATATCAATAACACAATAAATCAATTTAAACGAAGTGTATTCCAGCAGCAGCAGCAGGCCTATGTCCAGCAGTGGACTAGTATGAGCTGTCGATGTGTGATGTGTATTCGTCTTTTTGACTCGATTTTTAGGAATATCATTCTACAAAAATTCTTCCATTATCTGATTCAATAAAAACATAAGTTATTAAAACAAAACTACTTCTTAACCACCGATGTCGCATCAATTAATGACATAGAGAATATTAAAAGTATATCATTAAAACCGCAAAATGATCTTTCTACATAAATAAAAAGTTCCTATTGGATTATTAGTATCCATATAGATCATTTCTATGGTGTAATGATGAAAGTACATATGTATTTTTAGAATCTTGTCTGCAAGTACGCTATAAGGAATGATTAATGACCAGCTTAAGCTGAACACTTACCGCTATAGAATATTTTTTATTGAACAGTCTGAAAGGAAGATTATCGTTTTATTTACATTTATGTTCTTCTTTACATAGTATAAAACAAAATCGCTTCCCACCGTCTGTACGCTTAGATCTTTGTAACTACGCAACGGATTTTAATGCGGTTATCGTTAATAGACAGAGTAATTTAAGAGGTAGTAAAGGAAAAGGAAAGAATTTATATATTATGTATACGTGCATATTATAGTAGAGTAAAACCAATAATTTAAAATACTTGCAATGTGCGGCCGGGTATAGCGCTAACTATTCACAATAATACATATTATTAAACCACACTGACACCACATAGCATGCATACATTGCTCACGTGCGCGGCGGGGAGGCCGCTAGTCATGTATAAACGGGCCTATTTTTGTTAATGCTATTATCATGCTAAATATGAAATTTGATGCTAATCATTAAAATTATTAATATCATGTTAATGTCACAATGCAATAATTGATATGACTTATTTATTTCACTCATGAAATTATTCATAACACAGCTACAGTGTTCCTATTTAAGGACAGGTAGAACCTGTCCTTAAATTGTCCTCAGATAGAGTAATACGAAGACTGACACTGATTGACAGCGAGATAGAGAGAAAAAAGGGTTGAATGTTGAATTAAATTATTAACATTCACAACGTCTTTGCTAGGATCCAGGCTAAATCCCTCTCTTGAATAAATTGTTCCTAAGATAAATTAAACTATGTAAAAGTCACGTTTGCTACTAACACTTGAACTCGTGTCCGAACTAACGAAACTACAACCACAAACAGTCCTGGTATTACATATTTAATAGGGTAGTTGCCTGCGGCTATAATAAATTATGCATAGTCTGACCATTAAAATAAAAAACAAAAATCATGTCACGTTGCCGAATACAAATCAAACTCTTTATTTTATAGTAACAGTAACTTATAACATTAAGTATTATTGTTTATTGCTGTCAAAGTGTATTATGAAAAATTGGATTTTTGGGTTTGTCAGATTTAATATGTATACATATACTAGCTGTACCCTGCCACGCTTCGCTTTTGCACACTGTAGTTGTAGAGGAACAAAACGATTTTATTATCGTGTCAAAATTTGAGATCAAATCAAACTCTTTGAGGTTTTGAAGCGTACACAAACCAATTTAACAGTATTATTTTTACATATAAATATATAGATTTAGTTTATAATATTATATTTTAGTTTTGGTAATTTCACTAGTACCTACCAAAAAACTATTGAGAGAAAAGCGGTCAGTAGTGTATTTAAGTATTTGTCGAAAAGAAAGTATGAATGGTTTAACAATTCATAATATTTCTCTTTAAAAATTCAACATAACAGATTCAGCTGTCAACATAACATAATGGTATAGGAGCTAGCAACGTTTTCGAGAAAGAATTTTAGGTCAGCTGATTTTGTGATATGTCGTCCTTCTTGCACTTTCGGTTAGAATCTGGGCTATCTGGCTGGCGGTAGCGGTTGCGTTCATTAGTGCGCATCCTACCTGTCCAGGTAATAATCCTGTATTTTAAAAACATTTTAGAAGGCGTAATTTTTAAGTTTTTGTTTTTAAATAAGTCTACCTGACATACTTTTTTTATTGCCAGACATTTTTGACAATGCTAATTATGTGCCATACGCGATGTTTTTATTTTTTTTTATAAAAATTTCAAAGTATTTTATAGTGTCTGTAATTTTAATATTATGTTATTTAAAGATAAAAAAAACTTAAAATAAATTTGCCAGACATTAATTCGATTGTTAAGTCTTGAATTAAAATTAAATCGTCATGAAAAGTATTGCAGTATGATGCTAGTAGTAACAAGACACATTTTCACTAAAAATCAACTTCTTCATATCTCACTACTTTTGAAAATAATGTGCCTGAGCAAGAGTTGAGTTTACTCAAAATCATCATCATCATCAGCGATGATGCGACTTAACAATCGAATTAATGTCTGGCAAATATATTTTAAGTTTTTCTTAGTCGTTACGTGACGAAAATTTGGAGAAATGCTCACTCAAAACATCCAACATCTTTATCTCCAATGGCTTTCGGTTGGACCATTAACGGTGACAAATATGATTTTGTCTGGTTTTTGGGAGATCAATTACCATCCTCAGTTGCAGATATTATTGTTCAAAGTAAGTGTGAAATGGAATATTTATCAATAATAACTAAAATGTTTTATAACGAACTAGAAGAATTACACTGTTTATTTTTTTTCTGTTGCAGATGATAGAGTTTTAGAAGATAACGAAAGTTCCCAAGAAGATGATATGAATGACACTGACAAAGACAGCGACGATGATGATAATATAATAATAATAATATAATATAATAATATATTCTACCACATTCACACAACGCCATCTAGTCCCAAACTAAGCAGAGCTTGTACTATGGGTACTAGACAACTGATATAAATACATATATACTTTTTTTTTTGTAAATACTTATACATAGAAACACCCAGACCAAATCAAACATCAAATGTTCATGCACACAAATGTTTGACTTGAGCGGGAATCGAACCCGCGACCTTTGGAACAGCAGTCCGTTACTCAAACCACTACGCCATTCAGTCGTCGCCAACCATCATGATGATGATTATGAAGATGCCTCTATTTTTTGTGACGTCAATATAGGCTGAAACAACTTGAAAAACTTAATATTAATTATTTATAATTTACATTTAGTAATCAGAATAATTTAAATAAAAAGTGTTGTTTTTTAAATTTTAATCTAATTTTATATTCCTTTTTATGCTTAATTTTTTTTTGAAACTTGCTCTGACTAGAATGATAATTATTATTATTCTTATTCTTATTATTATTATTATTATTTTTTTATTATATGCACAGTGAAAAGTAATTTACTTTCGTAATGGTTCTCTGTACTAGCATCATACTGCAATACTTTTCATGACTTTTTAATTTTAATTCAAGACTTAACAATCGAATTAATGTCTGGCAAATTATTTTAAGTTTTTCTTATCTTTAAATAACATAATATTAAAATTACAGACATTATAAAATACTTTGAAATTTTATAAAAAAGAATAAAAAAAATCGCGTATGGCACATAGTTAGCATTGTCAAAAATGTCTGGCAATAAAAAAAGTATGTCAGGTAGACTTATTTAAAAACAAAAAATTAAAAATTACGCCTTCTAAAATGTTTTTAAAATACAGGATTATTACCTGGGCAGGTAGGATGCGCACTAATGAACGCAACCGCTACCGCCAGCCAGATAGCCCAGATTCTAACCGAAAGTGCAAGAAGGACGACATATCACAAAATCAGCTGACCTAAAATTCTTACTTTCCAAACGTTGCTAGCTCCCGTACTATAATATGCATATCGAAAGTTGGCTATTGATCTCAAATTCATTGTAACTTCAATCTAATCGTAATGATTTGGGAGACAGTAGAAGAAAATCTGTTTCACTGAAGGTAGATTTTACAGAAAAAATAAATAGAAATAGAGAACACGTAGGTAACCAAATGGAACAAAATTACATAAGCAAAGGGTCCTATGATTTTCACAGGAATCGTAAAAATATAATATTAATGTGGTGATCAAAATGATCAATCAAGTAATGATAATGACTTTGAAATCAAAAATGACATGTCACTATTGGTTCGTTTCAAATCAAAGAAAACAAATGTGGCAAATTCAGTTGAAAATGTCGATTCTGATTTTGATGATTCATAGTAAACATCACACTAGCTCATTCATTCATAAAGTTATTTGTTATCATCCATGCAAATTTTTAAGTGGCGATGCAAAAAGTAGGGGTATTATAAGTTAAGGTCTGTGTCTGTGTATCTTTGTGTCTGTAGAAAAAAATAGCTCCTAAACGTTTGCCACATAACTTGGGTGGCAAACTACACTTATTGTTGAAATAAAAGCGCAACTGAGGCGCCGCTAGCACAGGATTTTATTAACCTGGTCAAGCTACAAAGATACAATCTATGGAAAATTCAGTGCCATAGTCAATCTTGTTATTTTAAAATAAAGGCCACAGTGTCTGCTAGTAACAACACCGCAATACAACGCCGGTTGCGTTGTATTGCGGTGTTGTTCCAAACATGGTCCAAAAATGGTGACAGTTTTGGTGACTGACACCATCGTGGTAGGACGTTTCAATCCTTGAAAAGAGGTTTCTGAAACTAGTCGGATATCCCAGAAATACATACTTGAATAAAAGCGTAGGTAAATCTCTAGGAAAAATCTATATCTAAATCTAAAATATTTAAAGAAAAATACATAAAATGGAAATAACTTGACAATAGCGGGTACTCCTTCATAAACCCTTATTATACCTAATATATTATAGTTTTTACGTTTAACAAATAAAAAATAATTTGACCTCACAGTAGTAGTAGTACCACGTACGACGTTTAGTCAATCATACATCACCTTCTGCGGCGTATCGAGCAGATCCCTGACAACAGTGAGGAAGGAGTCAGGCGTGAGTCGCCTGGCAGCATACTCCTCCATGTAATAGGCGATGGCCGGCAGGTCGCACTGGGGTAATAGCGACCGCGCCTTCTGTTCCACTGCTACTGCTGCCGCTCCTCGCCGCCTGCCCCACCCGCTTATTCTAGATTACAATATTATATGTACTATATTACATAATAAACCGACTTTATACACACGCTAACAGTTTTGTACAATAACATGATATATAGATAATTTGTACCTTCAGTAAGAGCAACAGCAACGCTTTTTTTAAATTTACCGATTGCGATTTTGGTCCAATAGGAGAGGTGGCGATCACCGTCACGTAAATAACTTAGCTCCGTGTTAATTTATATAATAGGTCTGGTGAGTATGGCGGATGATGGAGAGCTTCCAACCTTGCACCTACCGACTATTACTTTTTCCAAAATTTAGACAACTTTTTAGTGGGTAAAAAATTCAATTCCCGAGAGGCAGTACAAAATGCCTTTGAAGAGTTTGTTGCCTCCCGTCCGGCTGATTTTTACAAGAAGGGCATCAATAAACTTCCAATGCGTTGGCAAAGATGCGTCGACTGCATGGGTGATTACTTCGAATAACAGAAATAAAAAAGTTTGAAAAAATAAGTGCTTTCACTTATTGCATACAAAACGGCAATTTCATAGGTAAAGACCTAATATAAATATATAAAACCAATGAGAGGTTAACTTATATGATAATTTCATTCTTACGCTTTATAATGCTAAAATAACACAGTGTGGTATAGTGAATATAATATATATATAAAATAATATAATATAAACTGTGGTTGAATATCATAGAAACTCCTATTATAATTTGTCAACATAGCACATAAAAGTTGAATAGCTCGGATGCGCATCATATAAATTATAAAAAGTTAGCATGAAATTTTAATAAGAATAGTATCAATTACCATTACTCCATACTAAATTGTAGGCTATTTTGAAACCTGCTGAATTATTAATTAAGCTTTAAAGGAAGAATAAAAAGAAGATTCTTTTATTTGCCTGACTTAGACCAATTTCCATTAACATTAAAATATAATTCATATTCAAATAAAAGTGGAAATAAACTCGGTTCCAAAAATAACGGGTCAGTCACATAAACCCGAATATCTCGCGAACTACGTATGCCGTCCTAATGATACGAAGACTGTTCAATTGAGAATTTAATTATACAGATGAAAAATAAAATAAAACTTAAATCTAAACTCTCTAACTCTTAACTTATCTCTAAATTTAAAAAAAAACTAAAGTAGTCATATTTTTCTTAAGATTACATTTTTTTATGATTGTTTTTTTTGCTGTTTTTCATCACTTTCTTCATTTAATACTTTGTATTGCCTCCCCGAGCTCTTCTGACAGCTTCCAGGCGATTAGGCATGCTGTACACCAAACTTCGGAGCCGATGCTGAGGAATACCTTCCCATTCCTCTACCAGTGCTTGTTTGAGCTCGGGAAGCGTGATTGGTGGGGGGTTTCGACCTTTCACGCATCTCTGAAGCTCGTCCCAGGCGTGCTCGATGGGGTTTAAGTCCGGGCTTCGCGCTAGCCACTGCATGAGTTCGATACCGACCTCTTCAAGGTAGTCATGTACAATTCTGGGGTATGGGGAAGCGCATTATCATGCATTAATATGCCATGCCGGTCCATCCTGGCCATGAAAGGACCTACATGTTTATTGAGAATCTCTTCCACGTACCTCTCTGCATTTAGAGTTCCATTTTGAATGAGTACCAGCTCGGTACGGGCCTCAGTAGAAATCCCAGCCCAAACTTGTACGGTGCCTCCACTGTACGCCACTTTTTCCTCATCACACGCTTGATGGAAGCGCTCCCCTGGTCTTCTGTACACCAACTGCCTACCATCATGCTTATAAAGCATGAATTTAGACTCGTCCGTGAACATTACCCTAGACCAATCATCTAGTGTCCAGTTTAGGTGCTCGCGTACTTATCTCTGTCTTGCAATTCGATGTCCCCGTTCCAGTTTGGGGCCATTTGCGGGCCTCAATGGTTTCAAATTTGCTTCAGCAAGACGTCTTCTTACTGTTTGAGCGCTTAAATTGCCACTTCCAAAGCGAATAAAGTGAGTTTTTAGACCAACAGCAGTTTGAAAACGATTTCGGAGCATTGTAGCCACCAGTTGTCTGTCTTCCCTGGCCGTTGTGCATCTTGGTCTGCCATTTCCTGGTCTTCTAAGGTGTGATCCGGTCTCTTGGTACCGCTGGACTTCCCGCTGAACAGTCGACAAAGATACACCAATGTTTCTGGCTGTTTCACGCTGGCTCCGCCCAAGTTCCAAAAAAGTTAGGATTCTGGTACATTCCTCTAGCGTGACTGCCATGCTTCACCTCACAGAATAATAATTATGCACGTGGAAGACGTTCACTATAATTTTTTTTGTGACAGAATAGAAATGGAAAGCATCCATAATGAAATGAAACAAAAATTTTGTTTTTAAAGATAGTCATTTTTTTAAATTTTGTTTTTCTAATGAAGTTTTTTTCATCAACCAGTTTATTATATGCTATATAATATGCTATTAGAAGCAGAACTAAAATGTCTTTATTCTGTTTTTTATTTCATTGATCTAACTTTTACAGTTCTGGAGGTATTGCAATTTTTGTGACTGACCCGTAATTTTTGGAACCGAGTGTAGATCATTTACAATCCTTGCGGGATTTTTAAATAAGTCACCTCATGATTAAGTATGAAATCTGAGCTAATTTAGTTATATTTTTTCATGAGTTATTATTGTTTAATCGTCGCAATTTACATAATCAGAATATATATTACTAATAATTTATTGGAAAGTTTCTAGTTCCTTTTTTTAAGCTATCTATAGATTTAGGAAAATGCCCTTATGGTATGATGGTGTTTCCTATTCATAGACTTGAAGAGCTCTTTTGATCCAACAAAAGTATACTAAGTTTTAATTTTTTGTTGATAATTTCAGCCGTTTTGTTTTAGGTACTTCTTGGCATTGACATTCGAGTAGTCGCTTTAGAAAACCATACATAAGATATTACCTTGGTGCTGCGTCCCGTTCCCCATACGCTGTGCAGGCATGTGGAACCTTCCCTACATCCCGTACTAGCAACGACATTCGTTTGTGGTATTTGAGCTGTGCAACCGCCTCATCATGTGTCACGTCCACAAATGACTGAGCATTCACCTCTAGGATTTGATCCCCAACCTAAGACCAAATTAATAGAGATTGATTAAAACAATATTAGCACTTAGAACAATATTAGCTTAACTTTGGACAAATATAGTTTAACCCAATAGGGTTTCTATACATTTGTATAAGTCTTATGATCAAAGGACAGTGAAACAAACGAAGTAAAAAGTATATATATAAAAAAGTGAACAATTGGCGGCCTATTCGCGATTTCGGATCTATTCCACGAAACCGCTGGATGGGGAAGGAGATTTAGGGTTTGACAGAATTGTAATTTCCAGTGTGATTTATTTCAATAAATCAATTCTAATCTTGCAGGGTATTTAAATGAGAGACCTCAAATCGAAATACATTTTCTGCAATCCATAATAAGATTATTCTGAGCTATAATTTAATTAAGACTTATTGTTATATACAAACTCAAATTAATAAGCACACTAAATACAAACGAATAAAATAAATATATATAGCTAGGTAGGTATATAGGTAGGTATAGTAGGCCAAAACCTCCTTTCTAAGGAGAGGCTTATGTCCGGCAGTGGACTATTAAAGGCTGTTGATGTGATAAAAATGAATCTACTAGTCTCTGGGTTCTGGTCCTTTGTTATAGATCTTGAGAGAGTAATTAATCTTGTAACAGTAACGTATCACTAGGTATTTGCCGAGTCCATTTTTCAGGTGATTGCTCACGGTGTTCCTGATGGACTAGCCGACCCACAGCAGGAAGCTCCCCTAATACCGCAAGCGTTTTTATGAGATCAGGGTTTTGCCCGCTGTTTTGCTAGCGATCAAGTCATTTTTTACTCCAGGTTACAACGGTACAAAAAGGTACCTTTTTTGTAGCCCTGGAAACGTTTAGGTATACTAAATTTATGGTAATCGGTTCAGTGATATCTGAGAGTGTAATAAACAGGCTCACTTTATGATTTCGAGTATTGTTATTTTTTAACTTCATTCACAGGAAGCAGATTTCCGTTTTCCAATCTGTCTTTTACAAAAAAAAAAAAAACCATCTTTTGAAATTTTTGTTACTAGATTGCGAAACCGCAAACATTAAAACAACAAATTTTATCAGATACTTATTTAAATTATGTTAGAATATCAGCAGATGGCGTCTAGTACGTACGTTGACCTGTCATGTACTGACACTTACAGTGGCAATTCTAATTTACTGGTTAATAAAATCAACAGAAAACTTCTACCAAATGAGTTATGTTCAAATTCCTGCTGACAGGTGTTCTTTAGTAATATTAAAGTGTATTATACTCGTATATGTAAGTGGTTTACTTATTAAATGATATATATTAAATTGTTTATGGATAAGAATGTCAGACAAGAATATTTTCTTATTTTATGTAGTCATATTTTATGTAGTCGGGTTTTAGACTGTAATTTTATTTTTTTCCAAATATTGTATTATTCACTTTAAAACAGACGTATTTCAGTGTATATATTAGTTGCAACCTAACAATATTAATTTAAGAAAAAAACATGGTAAATTATTAGTGGTAAAACTTTTAACTGTATGTTACGTTATGCGGAAGTGGCGTGCAGAAGGCACTGCAGTCGAGTGAGTCTTGAGTTCTAACATAATAAATATTTCATCACACCCCCTCCTACCTTGCTTGCGATAAGAAAATTAAATATTATTCGCCACGTAACGTTTAACAAGAAAGCATTTAGGAATTCTTAAATTTTAATGGATTTGTTCAATAAAATATTTTATACACTATAGTCATAACCAAGGATATACAATAGAGTTTCATACCCTCTTCATCGAAACAGCGTAGAATAGTATTCCTTAAATATGGATCAAATTTTATGGAACATAAAAAAGTTACAGTCTATAAACCGGTCTCAACAAATTAGAAAGTAATTCACACTTTCACGGTATCCTAGCCGTACAATTTTGGTTGCTATAAAATAACGGTAACCTTCCACAAAAAAATTCTTCCACACTCTAAGATAAAAAAAAGAAATATATATTAGGACTTTCAAATATCAAGGATGAAAATACAAATATGTTTACGGGAATTAACATTTAAAAGTTGGTAAGTTTTAAAAGTTAGTAATATGGATTAATGAATCAGATATGCTATCCCCACTGAACTATATGAAGTGAAGTCATTAACGAATTCCCTATTAAAAGTAAAACATTTTTTCTATTTTTAAATGTGTTGATAATATTTTTGGCGTCTTAACACTTTGAGAAATACGTACTGCCTGCCTCCTTCCTTCTTCAGGTATTCTAATGTTTACAGTTAAGGCGACAAAAATTTCTGCTCTGGAGATATGTGGTTGGGTATTTTTACTACATATACATAATAAAAATTACCTAAAAGGTATACATGGTTACCTAAAAAGTATACACATATGTATGCTTTGCAGTCGTTAGGGACAAACTAATAACAAACAAAATGTAAAAAAAAAACATTAGATAAAAACATACTTACCATAAGTCCAGCTCTATCTGCTACAGAATCCTTATCGACCCCTGTGATATAGATACCGAGATTGTATTCCAGACCACCTCTTATCATTAGTCCTAATGACTGTCCCGGCTCTATACAAAGATCGACCTGCACAGAGAAATTATACGATAAGCTTGTAAATGCTAAATCATCCAAATTAGGACTCGACAGTAAGCAGAAAGATTACAATCTTAGTACATCAGGGAGCAAACTTATAATATTGGCTTATCGTTAGTACATTAGGTAAATGACTTTAATAGTTAAACCCGATATACAGACAGGCAATTTGTTTTATATAATGGGACCCATGCAGATAACACTTCCTTCCTTCTCTTCCATTTTCCTTAATAATTTCCTTAGTAACGCCGTGTTATAGGAACCAACACGTAGAAGGTTTTTGTATAGGTTTCTTACAGGTCCTTTCCTAGTTTCTGCCACAGGAGTGAAAAGGTGTTTATTGGTTTTTGCAAATTTGGCTATTTCTAACATATATAAGGATGGAAAGGTTAGTATTCGTAAGGATTTAAACATTGGTTTACAGCTGTCTGTGGTCTTTAAATTGCACATCGCTCTGATACAGCGTTTTTGGGCTTTAAATACCTGCTCTCTTGAACTACAATTGCACCAGAATATAATTCCAAATCTTAGAACTGATGCAACCAGACCGTGGTAGGCTAGTACAGTACAGTTTGAATGTTAACTTTTATATTCGAAAGGACATATGCAGATGTATTTAGTCGCTTACAGCAAAACGTTGCTACTTTAATATTATCGACTTGACATCAAAGAGCTCAATGTGAACGAGCTCGACACTATCGAATACGTCCTTCCAACGACTAACAATAGTTTTGCGGATAGTTCACAGCGATTAGCATACCACAAATATATATATACGCATACATCGTATTCCGCCTCAATATGTATGACAATAAAATATTTACGACTATGAAATTTGACATAAAAGATTATATGATAACATAAATTCATTTGACATTCATGTATTTCCAACCGCTTTTGGTAAATAATGTGTATAAATAATAGATTAAAACATAGTTGCAAGTTTTCTCTAAACATTTTTAGGTCTGACCAGTGTTGGCAGTAGTTCAAAAAGTAACTGATGTGAAAGGAAGTTGTTTATTCATATGTGAGGCTCACCCTTCGTATGGAGCGGTCTTTACTGGAGGATCGAGGGGGTCGGAGTGGCGGCGGTGACGCCGGCCGCCCGTACCGATCCATCCACGAACATGACGCGCGACCCACTAACGCACCTGCTGTCCGCACAGTCATTGTCAGCTGACGACACGATTTCAGCATCTAATAAAAAAATTTGCATGTTACATCTACACATATCGAATTGTCGCTACTTCTGCTATGGAGAGATATTCTATACGTAATTAAATAATAATAATAGGTATAAGTCAATGCGGTCTTAATTTCTAAGCGCTACGCCGCCAACGGTATCATTCTTAAATGACTCCACTCTAACTAAGACTGAACTCTCTATTTAACTATAGTATTTTTCTTCACTCAAAGTGAAGAACAAGCCTGAGGTCCCTTAAAAAATCATATATTTGAATATGTATGGTTTGAGGGGTATGAGGTATGATACAAAAAATCATTCCATTTGCTCCCATGCCCAGGTGTACAATATACTCACTCAGATTTTTTTAAAGACTATGTGCATTAATTTAATATACACAGAATACAATAAACAAGTAAAACTAATGAAATAAAGAATATAATAAATGTACATGTGGTAGTAATCACATCACATTATTATATTATTTATTTCATTTATTATAAATATATATATATATACTTTGTATTTGAAGCATTGCATATATAATATTACTTGTTAGGATAGCCCTAGAATACTCCGATCTAATATCATATGTAGATTTCGCTCACGGTAAACAGACAACGTCAGAATCTGCTATTGCTAAAACAATTTTACAACAACTTTTAAAATATCAACTTTCGCTGGTGAGATCGGCTCGTGTGAGATTTCGTGCCTATGGCAAAATCGGGATACGTTCCTGACGTAAGACAAAGTGTTCGTGTTGGTTGTGTTTGAATTTGAATTAAACTGTTAATATCAGTTTAGACTTAGATACCTGTACGGTTAGAAATAAATTTTGCTATACAGCATAGAAGAAAACGAATGCCTTTTCTTTATTATAAAAGTATATTGAATATTTTATTACTTATTTTTTGACGCACTGTGATAGACACCGCCCGCATACGCTTTGGTTAATTATAATACTTAACTTGCCAACTAAATGTACACATAGACATTTACTTAAAACGAGAAGTTATTTTGCATTGATGTAATAATATTCATTAAGAGAGAATGTAACACATCCTTTGCAAGGTATCTGTTAAAAAAGGATACGAATAGAATAATCGAGTTGGCCTACTTTAATTATTATACAAAATCCACTATCTGTTTCACTCATACTTACTAATATGAGTAATTAGCATGACCGTTTATTAATTTAAAAAAAAAAATTTGTTCTGCTGCTGAAGACCTTGATTTTGAAAAACACATCTATTATTTTGGTATTAATGTTTAATTTCAACGTTACAATAAGCGTAAAGCACACCCTCATCTAGGATAGAGTAAGCTAATTGCTGTAAGGCACTTTCGTAGCACGTGATAAAATCGTATCAGCTGATGGACAGTGGTAAGAGGAGACTACATAGTATCAGTGACGACACCGCACGATCCGTCAGCGGGCACGGCAACCACAATTCTCTCTCAATATATTTTATAGTTGTATTTATTTATTAAGTAGGCGTAGAATTCCTGTGACCGAAAAATAATTATCTTAAGTAAGTTAAAAAGTGAGGATCTTTTATTGTGGTTCTAAAGTCACTTCTTGTAAGTTATTTATGTGTTTATACCCCTGAATTAATTGAAGCCTTGAGCAAAGAAAGTAATAAAATTAATATGTTTTTTGCCGCTCTTCTTTCGTCGTTTAAATATTTTTGTTAAACTTTTTTTACAATGTTAAATAATACGCACTTCACTGATTTTGTAGCTTAGCGAATTTGTACCTATCATCATCATCATCAGCCTTTGATCATTAACTCACTTCAACCAGTTTTTTTTCTTTTTGCGCAGACCATCGTATAAGGCATCCTGTCTGTCCGCAGGATGTCCGACACTATGTTTCATTAGAGGCGGTCTTCATTCCAGAAACCTTCTACCCCAGCAGTTCGCGATTCTGCAAGTTATGTAGTCAGCTCCAAATGACAAGGAAGTGATTAGAAGTTAGACAGTTATTGATAATAATAATGTCTCTGTAAATATTTTTGGGCTTGCCATAAATCTTAGTCATGATTTTCGCGACACGACACGACAGCCAAATGAAATGGGTTTTATTTTTATAGGAAAAACAAAAACTGTACCATGAAAACACTGTATAACACATAAGTAATTGTGTACTTCAGTCAAGTAATTACAAAAAGTTCAAGTTGCTAACTAAATAGGCTCGAAAGTGTTCAAGCTATGCCTGAAATTTATGTTTAAAAAGCAGCAGTTTATTTTACAGTAGTTACAATTGTGTTGAAGTAGTCGACTTTTCTACAATGCATTATTATCCATCACCTACGTCAGCACGGAAAAGCTAAGACGTATTTCGCAGAAAGGTCTCGGTGAATGTCAGGAAGCGAGATCGTAAATCAACCGATATCGTAAAGTGCGGAGGAAAAAAGTCTAACAACGTCTGCAAAAATAGTGTAACTTGACTATTTCTACAGGTTGTATATTCTAATTTTAAATATCCTATTATACATTTGTATTTAAATAAAGTCATAGTCAACGAGAATTCCGGCATGTTGAAAACAAGATTACTAGTATGGTATATTTTTAAGAGTTGGGAAACAAGCATACGTACGATAGTGATCAATTATCGTAGGTTATTGACACACGTAGGCCAAAATCTTCTTTTTAAAGGCTGTTGATGATGATGATTGGCAACAATTGCAACTGCAGGAGACTTTAAAAACCTATTCCTTTCTTGAAAAAGCCTATACTGAATTCGAGTACAGCTGGAAGCCTATTCGCTATTAGAAGACCGAGTGACTGTACGTGATTTGAAAATCTAAAGTGTGGGATGAACGTACGGCACCGTGGCGCCGGCAGCGCCACGGTGCCGTGGTAGACTGAGACTGTAGTTATAATTTCCATCATCCAGTTCCTCAAAGCTCTTGGAGGCTAAATCGCTCTTTAGACTAGTTTGCATCACGTTAGACTTTAGAATTGAAAACTATTTGTACATCACATCTTTGAACACATTGAAAGGCCTAAGTTGTTGTCCAGCTGTTCCCACTAAGACTTGACAACTATACTCCATATGATTTCAAACTTTTTATCTCTATAATAAAAATCTTAAACTCTCTATTAAACTAACTTTTTGGGTGCCATGCCTGCTAGGTGATTTCAAATTCGAACGTCGCTAGAAATATTATTACTAGGGACCCCAATTTTAATAAACATAATTAATTAGATTTTAAACGTAAAGTTTTCTTAATTAAAATTAACTAATGTCAACTTTTAAACATGCAGTAGAAACATTTGGTAACATCCCTAAGCAGAATAGAACGTTACTCATTTTATTGAGTAAAATCAACAAAATACAGTTTTATTAAAAATTATGAAAGTAACTAAAATATATTTCCAAAAGTTTTAAAAGTATATAAACGAATGGATAGAAAAGTGAAGTCTGTCATTTAAAAAGTCCTTCTATATATCATATGACAACTCAAATGTAGCACAAGACCTTAATGCAAATAACTACAGTCATATCGTAACGTCACCGTGTCATGGTGTACGCAGCAATACCATTCAAGGTTACACGCATTATTAATTTTATTTGAAATACAATACAGTGTGTACCTACCTGGCTCACCATTACTTAAACATATCGGAAACGAAGCAAAACCACGATTTGAATGCAGTAGAATAAGGAATGGCTTATCCAACAAGAGTTTATTATAATACGAGTATAAAGGCTTTAAGGGTGTAACAGCCAATGTATCATAACAGGACTTAACAGGAGGAATCTTGCTCGTTTAGATTGGTGTACTTAAATAAATACCTTAACCATGGACTATGTGCACTATAACAGGTACTAAATACTCAATTGAAAATTATTTTTTCCAAAATGCCCATACTAACTAAAATCAAAACGTTGCATAGAATCTTCTTTCCAATTTTTCTACCATTATTAAAAATTGCATAACGTAATGTATATTATTTTTGCACCTCGCTTATATATTCCCCATATTGGCTTCAAAATCTTAATACTCCTCATATTGACAAGAAATCTATGAATTTATTCATTGTTAAGAAAAATAAATACCTATTTGTTCGTAAACCCCTTTATTCACTTTATTGTGAGTATCGTGACTGAACAGTGTTAACGCTAACAAGAATCGGACGGCGCTTTTCCGTTTTATATTTTCTTTTTATTAGAAACCTAATGACAGTTGGCACTCCTTATGCATTTGATACTCGTTTGCGATAACTAAACGTTTTTATTTGTCGTTGGACCTTTAGTCTATCATTTATAATTTGCTTTCGCTTATGCAAAGTAATTTTCCAATCCGCAGCAACAATATTTCGTTCTGGATGAAAGATATCCCATGTTCTCCTCGTATCTCAGGTAACATGTGTAGAATGGTCGGATGTAACAGACTGTCGATACGTAGCGTTTCTTTAGGGATTTACAATACGATATTTGAATACGATAACTATGAAAGTATTTTATTGAGTATCACAGAGATATAGGACCATTAAACTCTGCAGTGTAAGACAATATATATGTGTCGTCTTCACAGAAACAAACTATTAAGGCAATGATATATTTTAAAGCCATGCCAGAATAATTTGAATAAACTAGAAGTATAAGTGGAAGAGTTCGGAATAATTTGCTGCGTAGGCATCCGACTGCGGTCGACATTAGTACGGAAATAGAAAACGTCTCCTTCTCGTGTCCGCTTGTCATTTTCAAACCCACTGTAATGTCGTTTGCATGCAGATAATTCGGGTTAATGTAGAACGAATAAATGAATCTGCTAGTAAACAACTACCATTAAAACGAGCTGACTCAACACGATTATGCATTTTGTGTATTTGTAGAGAACATAAAAGACAATTCTTTGGATATATAAATAAACTTTACGGAGCTCTTATTACACAAATATTTACTAAACAGATATGTTGTACGATATTATTATAATTGTAAATCGCACTGAATGTAAACTGTAATAAATTGAATTTGATAATAACGAACAGCATAAATAGTGATCGTTTCTAAAAAAATTAATAGTGAGGTATAAATTCACGACTTTTTGTGTAGGCAATTTATACCACAATGGCATTGCAATAAAAAAGCCGTTAACTATTCTATTTTAAGTTATTATTTACACCGTGTAAATATATTTGTCAAAACAAGGCTGTGTGCTATCACCCACACTGTTTCTTCTGCATATCAATGATATGTTGCAAACTAGTAGCATTCATTGCTATCCGGCTGCCTCAATATGTTTCGGGAAAACGTCATCAAGAGTCGAAACAAACTTGTGTCTAAAATTGAAGCTTCCTTAGCGGAGGTTTCAGATTGGGGTCGACTGAACCCAGTCCATTTTAACCCCAAAAAGATACAGGTTTGTGCGTTCACCGCAAAAAATATATCGTTTGTCGTATAGCCACGGTTTGAGGTATCGGAATCCTAGGCATCGACATATCGAGCGAAGTCCAGTTTCGGGGTCACTTTGAGGATAAGGTCAAATTGGCCTCGAAGAAGCTCAGAACGAAGAGCGACCCGAATTGTCGATAGCCAAAAGATCTCCGACCGGCTGAGTCCCTTTGCGTTACTTAGAGATGTAGCTTCACTCTGCATTCTCTATCGTATAAATCATGGAGAGTGCTCCGAGCACTTGTTCGGACTAAAACCGGCAGTAAATTTCCGCCATCGCTCCACACGGCAAGACTTTCATACCCACCACTTGAATAACTGGCGCTCCACTACTGTGACACTTTTTGCATCACACAACCAATCTGTGGAACAAGTTATCGTCTGCGGTATTTCCGTACCGGTACGATCTCCAAACCTTCAAGAAAAGAGCGTACTCATTTCTCAAAGGCCAGCAACGTAATCACTTTCCAATATGGGACCAGTCTGCTCGTTTCCATAAAAAAAAAAACTTATTGTCCAATACTAGACAGAAAACAATCTCAATCAGAAATATACTTGTTCTGTCTTGTTAAAATCGTTTTTTTTTATATATGGGACATTTATGAATACAACATTCGCCTTACTTTGCTCACTTCCAAAAGAAACGGGTGACAACATTAAAAAATATGTTAGTTTCCATTTTAACAGCGGTATTATGAAAATAATATATCAGATTTTAACTCATACCTCACTAGCTATAATTATAGAATATAAAAAACCTTTAAAATATTGCAAAAATGTTTGCCGAATCACACCACAATTTTTTTAGCAGTTAGATAAACAATCAAATAGTAATGGCGGACAATATTGCTCATCCAAATTAATTATAAACGAAAGACAAATAACGAACGATTTTAACTTCCTCTAAGTTTAATCGACTTAAAAAATGAAAAAAGTAATTTTAGCAATATTGAAATGGATGACTAACTAACCCCTAATTCTGAGGTTTTACAGTTAAGTTTCACAAACTCTGCCATACTTGCGTTCTCAGAAAACTGCCATAAAGATAATAAACTGATGGACAAGGTAGTAATACGTATGTATATCGTTGGCAGGTATCGACAGAGTTCCGGTAACATCGTTAAATGACTATTAGAAAGACCTTAGAAAGCAGGTTTTGGCCCACTATATCACGCTGGCCAGACGGGTTGGTATAGGGTTTGTGTCAAGTTTTCCTTCTCTTTGCAGTGCTGTTGTCCTGCATAGTTTGCTCCCTTACTCGCCTCTGACGACATGCTACATATATGCTATCTATGCTTTATTACTACTAATTGAAGAAAATATTGTCTATTATGTGCATAAATCGGTGTTAAATCTTATCCAGAACCCCAATATATAACAAGACATTGGATTCGTAATTCCGTTTATTGATGGCCTTCTTTCTTTAAAGAAAACATAACTTACTTTATCAGAGTCTAGTATTTGGCAGGTAGACCAAAGTAAGCTGTGTAAAATAGTTTTCACACATAAACGGCAGTGAAGGCGGTTTAGCGCATATCAGAAACTGCTGTCGAAGTCGTTTGGCCCACCGTCAGGAAACCCTGCCAGCAGCAACAGGTTCCTTTGTGCCTCTGTTGATACTTACATATACCAGTTACCATATAACGGTTTCTAGCTATGCACTTCTCATATATTACGTAAGTATTGGTATTTGGCCACGAGTAGCCTAATTGGCCAAGATTCTAAATGTATGTAATAATGTACATTCAGATTTAAGATATGGAATAAATGACAGTCATAATTAATTATTTAGAAAGTAATTCAGAAAATACTACTCTTGCGACGCCCACGCGAAAAATAGGGGTGGTGACACGCCATATTCTTAATCCATCACCATACGGACAAAGGACGTTTATACTTATCTCTTAAGAAAGTATTACATCAACTAAGGACACTAACCTTAAGGGCATCTTCGTGAGAGATCCCAGAGAAGGGGGTGCCGTTGACCTGCAGAATGGAGTCCCCAGGACGCAAGCCCGCTCGCTCCGCAACCGATCCTTCTTCCACTCTCGATATGTACACACCTACACCTAAATATTATTACATTAACTAAATTTAACACCTACTTTAAAACTAGGTAGGGAGCTAGCGACCAATATAGTTGTATTTTCTCACCTCTATCGTTAGCTAGCTAAACATAAATAAATGATGAAATGCTAAATAAACACAGACGTTTGTTAGTTTATCATAAGAGGTTACATAAATGTTGGTTGCTGCTAAATCTCGTTTCTTGTAAATCTATAGGAACAAAGAGAATAATTAAAATGAAGGTTAATAGCTAATTAAGGATGAATGATGATAAAATGACAAAAAATGTAACCTTATTTTATATTAAAATATAGGAAAATGCTACACCAAGACACCAAATGTCTTAATTGTCTGTCTGTTCTTACAACTATTTATTTCATTGAGGCTTAATGTAAACACTTATTGACAGGTTTTTTTCTTTATCTGAGCAAATTAAAGTCCACTAAACATTTTTGTATATCTTAAAGTTAGACGTCGCGGTTTCAATACTGGTGACATCTCAGTATTTGTTAGCAATTTCATTTTATTTTGAAATGGGATATTCGCTTGCTTGGCAAGTCTCCAAAATTCTTTTGTAATCAATTACTGTTCATCTTCAAAATAATCAAACGGCGGCGAGCTTTTGTATGAAAAACTTTTATAGCATATTTAGCTTGAACAAATTCAGATATAAAGCTCTGCAAAATATGAACATTTAGCAACAAAATTACCACCACAATGGAGGCAGTATGCAATTTAAACCTTATCTTGTCTCTGTGGTAAAAGATATTAAAATTCTGCGTACTTTGAAAAAGTCTTAAAAATGTACGTACTTAAACAAAATAGCCGCCAAAACCATAAGAAGCAAAAGACATGTTAAAACCTACAGATTTTTAGGGTTCGAAAAGAAACTGCGTCGTTATGGGCCTCTTATGTCTGTTTATCAGATACATGAGGTATAACGAATATGAGATGTAACATTTTCCTACAAGACTAAAGTGTTTATAAAACATTTTATTTTAAGATCGAAAAGTTATGAAATCTATTATAGATTTTCGTTGCCTCTGTATATTTCACGCTAAAATATCTATTCAAACTGCAATGGATAGTGCCAGTTTTGTTAATTACGTATTAACGATGGAAGGTCAGGAGTCTTTACATAACTTTGTAATCTTAGTCATGGTACGTGAAATATCACCCAGAAAAAGAGTCTTGAAGCCTAATATCACAACCATCCTTTAGCTACCACGGAAAATTTTAGACAAGTATTTTTTGAGATATGTAAGAATAGAAAGAAGTAAGTCGCTAGCTATTGCCCGCGTTTGCATGTCCTAAAGAGGGAAATTTAATAATAGCAATAATATTTTCGGACATCTGACACACATTGCCATCTAGTTTCAAACTCAGCAGAGCTTGTACTATGAAAGCTAGATTGACCGATAGAATACTTATATATATTATACATAGAAAACACCCAAACTCCGAAACAAACATTTGGTCCGACTCAGGGATCGAACCCAAGATCTTAGCACAGCAGTCGCATACACTACCACTACACCACCGAGCCAGATGAATTTGTGAGTGCATTATACATGAAAATCAACAGATATTGTAGAAATGCCTTATCGTGGTAAGAATATACAAAACAAAATACATTTATCTTAAACAGTCTCGGGTTATAATTTAGCTTGTGACTCGTCGTAAGGCTATTCAGAAGTTTCCCAAGTGAACTCTTAATCTATAAGACGGCCCCGTCGGCCTCGTAGCATGTGGGCATCTTTGATCCGCATGGCAATCTTGGAAACGATACATCTAAGCTAATTCTATTTGTTCCCCTACTGCAAATATGGCTAGATTGCTTCTTGGACATTTACATAAATATAGCAGATTAATGTTCTCCGTTTCAAAACCATCGATTAAAATTGTCCTTACAGTTTAAGTTTTTACACAATTTTGCAGAGATATATATAATACATTGCCTAAATAGAACCGTAAAATAGAAATTGAAGATAACATTTTTTGTGTGATACCTACACGATACGTAATTTCAACATCGATTGACCCACATTCGATATAAATGTATCTCAAGTGATTTAATACAAATAACGTATACACAACAAATAAATAAGAAGCATTTGCGTTGAAACTGTAGCGTCCCTAAAGGGTGTCAACCGGGCGTGTTTAGGATTGCAATATGTGCGTATACTTATATCAAGAAATGAAAAATAAAGAGAAAGATTTGATTTAAAAACTTATTACAGTAATACCTAAGCAACTTTCATTTTTAAAGGTTAATTTTTTAGAGTTTTATAATTAACCTACAAGTAATGTAACAAATAATGTACAGATGAATTAAATTAAATCTTTGACATATTCTAAATTTTTAAAGTTAAAAACGTTTTGTTATTTCTCTCACCGGCTTCTTTTCCTCCTTTAACACAGATGCCGAAGCCATGTGAATCTGCAGGATCTCGGCTCATGGTAACCGTCCTCGTCGCAGGTTCCGACGGCGGCGGCGGCGCCCCGCCCGACGAGTACGGCCGCTCCCGTTCACGCTCCCCGCCTCTGTATATCGCCTAACAAATAAACAGACAATTCAGTCTTCTCACACACGGCTCATAATTTATAAATGAGATAGGCCACAAGGACATAGGACGATAATGTTTTAATACATCGGTGACACACTGAAGTGTTTATGAGGCACATAGATTGTTAAGATAATAATTGAGAAATACTGGAAATAAGCAATGCAACACGATTGATGATTTGTATACAACTTCAAACATAATGTTGATAACTGTTTAAATATACATTTCAAGTGTTTGTATATACGAGTAGGTACAAGCAGTGACAGAGGTCACTGGATCATTGTTATTTTGTTATTATTAAGGAGAACAGAGTCCGTGTAGTGACGGATTAAGAATACGGAATGTCACTACCCCAATTCATCCCGTGGGTGTCGTAAGAACCGACTAAGGGCGCAAAATAACGCAGGACACCAGCAATGGAAATGTTTGTATATCTACCTACAAATATCACATACATTTTTCATTCTCCTTTACGAGTAATGAAGTATAATAGTATTAATGTCGATTAATATGTTAATTCATAGGTTACAGTACATACAAATACAATAGGACAAATAGATTAGTACATACAAATACAATATGAACAGTAATTACAAACGTATGAATAGTTATGAATTTATACCGTTACCTACAGGAGGTATGTTAAACAAAGTGTTAGTCAAAACATCCCTAGTTAAATCTAATTATAAAGGTCAAATATAATTAAATTATCCCTTACGATTAAATCCAAACACCATAGACCGTCCAAAGCCGATTTACCTGTCGTAGGAGAATTTATTCCCGTGTCAGCATAATCTTATGTTTGGTTACATTGAGGGTTTGGAATCTATCTCTAACACCCCAACCTTCGTCCTTGTGAGAAGGGAAATCTTTTCTAAGGAAAAGCTTACACGAGTAAAATTATTTACTCTTCTCTTATCACATCTGTCACGTTACAACGTAGCTACTCGTACCGGTCACTACTTTCTTAGCTTTATTTTCGTTGGATCCCAGTTTAATATTTTAGGCGTTGGATCCCACAAAATATGATTACGTTTTTCCGTTGAATCCCAAATTTAAAAAATGCAAAATGATTGCGTTTTATTGTCGTTAAATCTCAAAAAAAAATCCGTTAGATTGCAAATGCTAAAAACAATCAGAATGCAGGTACAACAACAAAATTGTAAATGGTAGGTATGTTTTATATTGACTGAATATTAAAAATTTCACTGTTCTCCTTGTTATTACTTTTATCTATTTTATTCAAAGTGATTGTAGTTATTTTCCGTCCGTGTGGTGACGGATTAAGAATACAAATTGTCACCAACCCAATTCATCCCGTGGGTGTCGTAAGAGCCGACTAAGGGAGCAAACTAAGCAGGACAACAGCACTGCAAAGAGAAGGAAAACTTGAAACAAACCCTATACCAACCCGTCTGGCCAGCGTGGTATAGTAGGCCAAAACCTCCTTTCTAAGGAGAGGCCTATGTCCAGCAGTGGACTAGTATAGGCTGTTGATGTGATGATGATGATGTGTAGTTATTTTGCGTAAAACTTAATCAAATCACAAAGTAATATAAGCGATCAAATCCCATCTACTTCTTCATCAATAAATTTTATAGACAGAAATTATGGTACGGTTCTTTTATATAATGCTCATCAATACATAAAGAAACGAGATCCATATAATAAAAATGGGACTTCTATATAGAAATGCATTAACCACCGTAAAGAAAAATGCAAAAGAATACTTACACTTTGTTTGTACAATTTTGTTTGGACATTTTTTACGTTTGATAAAGGTAAATCACTTTTCTTCGGAACAGTACAGATGTTGTTAAAACATGGGACTCAATACAAATAGGTAATGGGATCCATCGTTAACACCTAAAAAATTTGATCTAAAACTATATCCAACGCAAATAAATCCATTCTCAGAGAGGATTCCGGCGCTTGGGACCCCAAATTACTAGGACCGGGGTCCCAATTGCCGGTTTATTTAATTTGAATATTTTTCTACCGCCATATATGAATACAAAATCTGTTGTTCAAGCCAAAACTAGTACAGTCAAACGAAAAAATGTTCAAAATAATAATTTAAGAAACAAGTCTTTGATTTAAAAATATAATTTATTTATAAAATATAAAAAAAAACAGCCTTTAAAAGGCAGAATGGACTAGAGTTAGAGAGGGATAGCATTATACTTATTTGCATGGTTGAATTAGTTTTTTTTTTAATTATAATTTCCTATGGTCCTAGGTCCTAGGGTCCTAGTTAATCGCGGTCCCAATCACCGGGACCCTCTTCTCAGACAGGGCTTACCAAATAGATATTATAAGTCAGTAGGTGTATTATTAAAAACTTTTATCTGTTTAAGCATGTGACAGTATCTATCTAATATGACGTGCCTGTTGGTCTAGTATTAGTGACCCTCACTGCTAAGCCGGAGATCGTGGGTTCGTTTTCCACCCAGGACAAATATTGCGTAATGAGTACGGTCATTTTTTCTGTCTGATCGTAATTTATCTATAATATATGTGTATTTAAAAATATATAAATATGTTTATCAGCAGTCTTGTTACCATAGCACAGACTCAACCTAGTTTGGGATCAGATGGACGTGTGTGAGATATATTATATTACTACTAATAATGCACTCATTCTAATACAGCTAACATTAAATACTCAACAAGTCGGCTGTCAATTTACTTTATACAATTCCTTTAAAACATATTCTAAAATGTACGTTTAGTACTTTACAATTTAAGAGTTCAAATTCACTAATTAAAGTTGTCATTTATATTTTATAATAATATAATTCAAAGTTTACTTTATTCTTTTTGATGCATTCAAATGACATTATAAAAATGCCTTATCAGTAGAACTGAACCAATATATTATCAAATATTAAGGACAACTTGGAAAAGAGTAAGTGGATTAAATACAGTTTCTTAAAAATGATTCAAAGTAACAAACATTGTAATTTAATCCAAACTCAACCGCTTTGTAGCTCGATTTATAAACGGGAACATAAACGTGACTTTTTAACTCACATTCACGCGCTCTTTTGGTATTGTGCCTTATTGAGCTCTACTTACCTTCCGCCTTTATTAATTTTTCACTGCCGTGTTACCATCACATTACAATGTGACCCAGCATGATTATGGGCTCTATCGACAGTAACAGATGTATATGTTATGCGCCAAGTCATTAAATAGGGCGCTATTTATTTCAGCCAGACTAGGAATATAAATTATGAAAAGTAGAATCGGATTAAGCTACTGTTACTTTTCTAAATCTCAATATTTATCACTTCGTCTGGTCATTACGGATAGTGTTCCATAACTAATCGTCAGTTTAACACATATGGCACATTAGGCAGGGCATGAGATCATGTTCGCGTAAAATGACGCACTGGCCGATCAAAGTTTGACCCTTATCAGAATATGAGTGGCAATTACCAAAGCAAAAAGAAATACATTGAAATGCTGTCGCAAAGGTGGTAAGTGATTTATATCATCATCAATCTATAATTAATTTAGTGCTAAAAGAAAGCACCACGTTTTTTTTTGAGTTAGTGTTAATAATTACTTTTAACACGCTTTTATTACTTTGGTCTGTATCTATGTAACGGTATCTTTGAACGTGATTTTCACCCACTTTAAATATTCCACGGATAACAATATAATAATTTACTAATTTTGTCAGATTATCCTGATCAGGCTCTTCGGGATAATAATAATATAATAATATATTTTACTACATTCACACAACGCCATCTAGTCCCAAACTAAGCAGAGCTTGTACTATGGGTACTAGACAACTGATATAAATACATATATACTTTTTTTTTTAAATACTTACATATTATACATAGAAACACCCAGACCAAATCAAAAATTAAATGTTCATGCACACAAATGTTTGACTTGAGCGGGAATCGAACCCGCGACCTTTGGAATAGCAGTCCGTTACACAAAACACTATGCCGTCCGGTCGGATACATGGCTTTTTCTATATTTCTGAGTGTCTTTTGTCTCATAGTTTAAGGCAGAAAGTAAAGTAGCAATCGACACTGTTTGGCAGGCTAATATCCCAAAGAATTTCGGCTAACTCCCACCCATCTTATTCATCTCTAATCAATAAGTATTATATTATAACTGCAGAAGTATCTAACTCTATCTGCCTCTATCTCTATTTGTTTGTTACCCTTTCCAGCCTGAACTGCTCATCCTGCTCAACTTCTAGCAGGATGAGCAGATACTCAATATTGTCAAGCAAACTGCTTTAAAATAAAATGAGTTCAAACGAGTTTGATTTAATAACCCCCACCATTTGCTGCCATTTCTAGTCGGAATAAAGGTTTTACGCCAATGACTTCTAAGTTCTTTTTATTCAATAGTTAACTCTTTACTGTCTATTACAGTTTATTCTTATGTTAAATTACATGAATAAGAGTTTATAAAAGACGACAAGAAACATTTCTTGCCAGCCGTGCAGCTAATGTACTAATACTCGTACTAGTACTAATACTAATAATCTAACAGCTAATGTATCTCTTTGACATTAGCTGTGAGATTATTATATTTATATTATATTGCGTGATATATGTCAACAATTGTATGTCAGTTATACAGGCTTTCACGTGTTTACTGGCGTATCTGTAATTTACTGTTCTTTCTTTGTACCAATAGTTTATTCCGTATACACGAAACTACTTCTGGAAACGACCGAATGTGCAAAGATTTGTTTTCCTCAATATTGTTCGCGACTGCCGAGTCGAGTTCATACGCAATAAAGCGCGAGCCCTGCTTTTGCCAAAACAATGTTTCTCGAGGCGACCGTTTAACATCTCAAAGAAGTTGTACAAGCTTGCCGCCCCTTGATGGGGCGAGGCACGAGGCATGGGGCGGAGCGACCACCCGCTACTAGCACCCGACACGTCAGATATTTTCAGCGGAGCAGCTTTGAGATTTTCTTGTAAACTATGCCTCGGATACTCTTGCAGTACATATTTTATGCATATTTTATTTTAAATTGGTATTTATTAGAATCCTTAACTGTAAATTAATGTTTAATAATAAAGTTTTAATATTGATTGATAAGATTGATTAAAAGTTGTTTTAAGTTCTTCTATCTACTTATTTTAAGTAGTGCAGTATTGCCCTTCACATATTGCCTTGGTTTGGATCTTGGTTTTGTCATAAACACACGTCACGTGGCCAGCATTGAGTTTTTCTTACTCATCACTAAACCTCTCTTGCCTCTTTTTACAGCTGTCTTTGCTGTACAATATTTTTAATTTTATTTTACCATCGATTTGTAAAACTTTTAGATCTTAGAACCATTTAAAATTCTTTTGTTCTTTTTCTTCATTTGTTCTTTTCCTTATTTTGAATGCAAAAAATGACTATATTTTGAAAAAAACATATTTACTGTGTATAACACCAACAAGAGTTTCCATATCCTATTATCCAAAACCACACGCTACTAATCAAATCTTGCTTCCCTAGAAAGAATCTCTCTACTTGTATTAAACCGCGGTAGTTACTACCACTTAAAACTACAAACTACTTATTCATGTAAAATTATGTTCATCTTAGACTATATTTTTACTTATAACACTGATCAAATGTATATGTATCGTTCTGGAATAGAAAACGATCGACCGCAAGCACACGTTCAAAGTCAAACATGAACAAGCCATTTATCATGGCTTAAGAAAACAAGTTCTACTTTCTCATACTTCACTGTTTATAGCCAAGTAGATGTACTCGTATATTATTCCTGCTTACGTCACTAGACAATTACTTTATAGAGAACTAAGCTTTTTTACGACATATTACAGTCTATTTTCATTTTGATAATAGCTGATCCGCACAATTTCATCTGCGTCTCTCAAAAGGAATAATTTTGCCCATTTTTGCAACATTTTTCATTTTTATTTATTTTTTATTCATTCAATAAATATTTTTTCAATTTTCACCAGTAGTTGAAGAGTTTGTTCTCTTGAAACTCTTCAACTTTATAATATTAGTATAGATTTTACAGTTTTCTTACTCAAAAACGCTAGGCTAAATTATTAGAAATAAACAATATCCCTGTGTGTAGCTTCTCTGATTATTTTTTCTAACTGATTAGGGTCCTTACTTCATAAATTATTATGCCGATGTACATGTTCTTTGCAGCCTTTTGCCCCCTTGAATTAACCTCCGATTACAGAAATAACGAAGGAAATAAATCGGAGTCTAACCAAATAAAACGACACTTTACCTACATCTGACATCAGATGTTTGGCAAAAGTGGAGTCATAGGATTGAGTTATTCAACTTAATGCAGAGTAAACTCTGTTCCTCTTTCGAAGCCTCCTCGCTTCACGCACAGAGTCCTTAGTGTTTGGGAGTGCGTTGTTCTTTATCTGATTTATATTAGAATTCTCACAATTTCTTTTGATAATGTTGTCACATCATAAAAAACGTAATAGCGCTAAAATTACCTTTCCATTCTAAATTCAACATTTTAGAGAAAAAAAAACTAGGGTATTGAAAAATCTAAAGTAAAAGTAAAGCAAATTTAGGTAACATGCATACGTACGCACATTATATGAACAAGGGCCCCTTAATCACTCTTGAATCAGGTAGTTACGTGTGGATATAAACAGCTCATACAACTTTGCTTAACAATAATTGACACCTTCCAACCTCGATGAACCACTCACTTCCTTTTTGGTGTTTAGACTCTCTTTAGTGCTTAAAACAGTAATCGATTATTATTGAAGCACGTTCAGAACACAATAAAGTCAATTTAAAATATTTCAGTTTAGATGTTTCTAAGATCGTCCTTCTTTGTTGAAATAGAACATTAAATTTTTAATACTTAAAATAAGGACGGATAAGTTACGCCATTTATAATTCAAGAACGGCTGGACCAATTTTAACGATATTTGGTGTGTTTTTAACTTGTCCACTTACTGTTAACTGAATAACTATTAAACCATTTCAAGAGTTCAGACAACTAACCTTATTAAGAAAATTCATTTTCTCATACATTTTTTATAAAACCTAACCCGGATGAAGAGTAGTGGTGTAACTAAAAACGCAGGTAAAACGGCAGAGGAGTACTGATCTAAAATAAAAACAAGTGCAATTGAATAAAATTAAAAAGACTAAAAAATCTACGTCTTATTGAAATCATTGTGTATATATACCGAAAGGGTTTCACGTCAGTTAGTTTAGTGCTCACCAACGTTATATTATAATATATTAAACACATATGCGAACTTTACAGCCTTAGGATCAAAAGGTTTGAAGAATTTTTTTTATGAAATAGTGTTACTTTTAGTTTAGAATTTAGAATTTAGTTTAAATAAAAGGTTTCAAGTTGTTTTTAATTTAAAATATATTTCGCACTAGTAAAAACTGTTAATTTTATACTTTTAATTTAAGAAAAATAAATAGCACAGTAAGTACCTCATAGTTTTCCACGGAATCCAATTTGAAAATAATGTTTGATATAAGAAGACAGTAAACCAGTTTGATACACTTACAAACATTACGCACTGCTTTGAAACTTAAACTTTCATTTTGTTAGTATTGAATAAAGTATTGGAAAAGTCCTTAAAGTACCCTTTTCCTTAAACTCCTATAATTTACATCCAACTTCTTTGTATATTTTTCTGAATCAAGGCAGCATTTACATTGAAATGATTTTCACAAAAAAAATACTTGACTAAAAGGTCAAAACAGGAAAATTACATCGGATTCAGCTTCTGAATGCCGTTTAAAAATTGATATAGGTCCTGCCAAATTCTTGTATTGAGGTTAGGTGACTACGACACGATAGCACGTCCTTAAATAATTCGATAGATTTTTAAAAACTTGAACGTAGTCACTAAATTCACTATAGTACACTGTAAACTGGCCTGTTCACTGACATAGACTGAACCTGACGATGACAGCTGTGTCCACTGTTGACCATGAGATGGTAAGTATAGTGTGGACACGTCTATAGCAGACAACAATAAAAATACTGATTGCCAGTGGTTGCACTATTTACAGCTTTATTCAACCTGATTATACGTCTCAACAGTAATGCCAATAATACTATTTTAATCTAGTAATTTAAGTAATGATAGTTCTTTCCCTAAAGTTTCTTTCAATAAAATTCGGTCATGTCCACATTGTCGGTACCTAAACGGTCGCCGCTGTGGTCATGAATAAAGTAGTGGTATCGACTGGCGTGTGCGGCCTCACCCTGAAATAATTTACACACATGAATCCCCCGTTACCCCGCACCGCTTGCTTTATATTCAGTTATATTTAGAACTCCAATCGCTCAGTATTATCCTTCATGCCCTAATATTGATTTATTAAAAAGGACAGTGCAATACCTTTTGGTTAAAAAATTATAATTTACTTTGTTTTTGGTAAATTTTAACACTAATGTATTTTATGTGTACCATTTAAAAGCTTAGAATTGTACGTTATTTTCTATAAATGAGTTTATGAATTCCTAAAAAACACTATCTACTATAACCAAGAACTAAAGCTCTACTTAGTACTGAGTTGTAAATAGGTTTAATCAAGTAAGTAACTCTCCTGGCGGGAGACTTCGCATCTAACTAAAGCAATTAGCTAGTGCATTAAGAGCACTTACATGATGTGTGGTGCTGCTGGGACTACTCGCGGGCGAGAGCCTCCGTGCAGGTAAGGGAGCAGGGAGGGGTGGCGCGACGTGTGAATGCGAGGGAGGCAAAGCCTTGCCCAGCGCCGCGGCACCTCCCTGCCCAAACAACCGAAGTACCTGCTCTGGTGATATAGGACGCTTCTTGCCGTTTGCAACGCTTAGGTGATTCGTGCTATTCCTCAAGCTTGTTGCGCCAGCTGCACAAAGGACAATGACATTAGAGCTTCTTTGAAATACAATATAATATATTAAATTAGTAGCCTACACAATATTGCAAAATCTTTGTGCGCAATCAATCTTAACGAGTTAAGCATTTTTTTTTGCTACATCATAAGCTAAACTAAAATGAAAAAAGAAAGAGAACATTCTATTTAATAAATGATTTCTATCGAAAAATGTTACGAGTCAAAAAGCACAACGTGTGCAAATAAGCCTACATAGGTATTTCTGAAAAATAGAAAAAAGAAACTAAATGGCTATACCTAAATGTATTAGTATTAGAAATCATTCATCACTTAAGGGGCGAAATGATAGCCCTTTATTTTATAAGCAAAGTTTTGATCGCATTATAGGAAATCAAAATCTTTTACTGTCTACCGGTCTTCCTGTGGGCGAACATAAGATATTAAGCAATACTTGCCTGCACTATTGGCAATAGTAGTAGAGCCGAGATACGGAGCGCGGGAGAGCTTGCCTGCATAATGGTGGGAGTAAGACGAGTGATGACCATGCGAAGATGCCGGCCGCTCGACGATTGTGTACGAGGTACCCGGTGGCGAATAGTATACGCCGCCACGGGCGCGACCCCGTGCGTCCTCTGCCTCATAACTCGTATGCCGGTTGTCCTGCAACCACTAGTTGCATCAAACATGACCTCTACTGAGTACCCAAACTGAGCAAGCTTTTTTTTTATTGTAAAGTTTGATCGGACAGCGTTGAAACAATGAAATTTTTGAAAAACACAAACTTTAATTTCCTTTTACAGTTTCCTGGCATGATATGAGCGTACGATAGCGCTTTTATCTAACACTCTTAGAACAATCAATGTGCAATCAAACATTACATTATTTTACATATTACATTATTCGGACACAGTTGCAAATATGAATCTCCCGTAATTGGTTACTACAAAGATTAATGTTAAAATTCATTATGTAGTTCTTACCTGATGTGATCTGGAGTGTCTGGCAAGATGATGCGCGGGTGGATGCTGAGGCGTGGCGGAGCGTGTCCAGCCGTAGCCCTGGTTATAGGGCGGGGGCCAGCGCGCGCCAAACTCCGCCAGCTCTGATCCCTCCCCCGCCTCCCCCGACCTCATGCCGGGGGTAATGGTTTACACTGCCAAAATAAGAAAAAGTTTATTCAGTTGATTTCACATCGGCGTTGCGATTGAGTTTTTAACCGACTTTAAAATGGAGGAGGTTATCAATTCGATTCGATTCGATGTTTATATTTTTTATGTATGTTCTGTCATATTAAGACGGATTTTCAAAATTCTTTTTTTTTTCGAAAGGAATTCCTAAATGGAACTATTTAAATTTTATATAAATCTGATGATGAGTTTCGGAGACAGACAAATGAACTCTTCAAAAAATTACAGCAAATCATCCGCGATTGCTGCAAGTTTTTAGTGCTCTTTGTAAGTATTTTTTGAAGTCGGTTCAACTTTTTTAAGAAGGAATTTCTTGTACGGATTAAAGTCGTCGAAGATTTATGTTTATCATATTCATATTCTAAGGGAAATAATATATTTTTTCTACATTTGATAAGATATAGACACCACTTCACTAGATAGATTACAGTTATCGTTAATAAGTCCTCCGTTTGCTTTGAAAATACTCCTGCAAATATTCATAATCTATTTACACATACTTTATAATGTCACGGGATTACGTGAAGATATAAAACTAATATTTAAAATTTGAATTTAGAAGAAATGCAGAAGGCTAAAATATTTATTAAATATTTGTATAAGCTTAAAAAATATGCGAAAACATTTACTCGAAACTACATACAATCGTCCAGTAAATATATTGATCTGTCTTGATTCCGAAAGTCTACACTATAAAAGTATTGAGTTATATAAAGCAGTTTCACCAAATGAATTATGATCGAAATGCGACCACAATTTCTCTAGTAATCATTAAATATTCACTGTTAAGTTAAATAAAAAAAAAAAACAGAAAGAACTGACGAATAGATCCAACGTACATTAAACAATATGTCAAAGGTTGTTCTTTTCGAGTCTTAAACTTAAACACTTTTACTTGTTATACAGAACTGTTACATTTTTTTTACTGTGTACTTACTGATAATTTCTTTTATCTATTATATAAAATACCTTCCCGCGACTGACCAACGCAGAGACTAAACCACTGGGGCTACAAACTTGAAAGTTTGACAGCTGATGCTTTTCATGTTGTAAATACCCACTAAGGAAAGAATTTTGTAAATTTAACACCTGAAGAGGTAACATAAAGGAAGAACGGTTGTATGGAAGTTGCTAGAAACACGAAATAAAAAAATAATCATTCGAGTAAAGCTGCGGGCATTAGCTAGTTTTTCACAAGACTCTTATCCTTACACCTTAGGTTATCTTGTATCACACACACATACGCGCATAGCTAAATGTTCTTAAACTGCCTGATGACAAGCGTTTACCGTTGCCAATTTCGTGTTTAACTACCCCTGTAACGTGCCCTTTCTATCTCTTGCTAAATTATTATTGTCGGATCTTGATATACAAAACCAATCGATACAATCCTTACATAAAGGTGTGGTGTTATTTTAGGGCCCCTTCGTAAAAAGGGTGAAGCGTTAACATTTTTTAACAAAATCATTGGGTACATACTTCGAAAGGGGGAACAGACATAATTAATTCTATGCTTATCAAAACTCGGCCATAAAATCGATAAAATATACATTACTTAGAAATGTACACCTACTCTATTCTATTAAAGTAAGTCAACTGGTTTTCAGCCACACATAACATTCTTAAAATTGGAAACCTTTCTGTAATGTCACCGTATTCAACAACAAAAGTTTTGGTGTAATATAAAATAATACTTGTCTATTCAAAGACAGAATCCACTAAAAATACGTGTTTAATGAAGTTAAGCGAAGTTTATGCAAAGATGCAAAAGTGGAAGCTAGCGAACGTAATTCGTTGTTTAAGCGCCACCGTCAGCCCACTATGCTGAGCAATTTAACAAAGGAAATCGTAAGCGTTACACCTGGGCACGGTCCAATTTATGGGAACGTCGACTCGAGCTTCGATCGTAAACCTCACAATACATTTTTATGTTGGTTGGTAATATTTCAATAACCGTTGTCAAAAAAGGTTTTGATTTAATACTTACACTGATTACTGTCAAAGTTTAACAATTTAAAGAATGACAAATAAAAATATGTTTTGTTATTTCTACTGACAAGTGGAAGGACACGTCTTAATTTAGGGGTCTTTATAGACATGGGTAAGAAATAGGCCTTAGTAGATATATAAAACATGAAATATGAATAAGAACACTGCCAAAGAATTTAATTTAAAAAAACCATAACTAGTGTCACCCGGAATGATCTGAAGATTCTAAAGATACATGCTATCTTAATATGCTTAGACATTTCAAGTTACTGTCTTTATATCACAGTAACTAACATATTAACTCGTATGTACATGAATTCTATTAACATTACACTTCTTGCCTAGGAGAAACCGTCTTTTTCCTTCTATTCGATTCGAGGAAGTTCTTTTCTTATTTCAGGATCCTTAGTCCTAACACGTTATCTTCATAATTTCGCCCGTCTGTCTGACCATCTGTGACTTGATTAAGCAATTGTTGGAGAAGTCTTACAAAACCATTGTGAGGTTGTGAAGACACTTTTTCGATTCAGTGATCCTTTTGGGTATTAATAGACTTTATTGTACTGATTTTTGTTTTGTTGACACGAGTGTAGTGATTCCGCTCTTTCGAGCTAAAAAAATCCTGATATATGTTCATAAACTTATTATATAAGCAGTATAAGTATATACAGTGGATATAATAGGAAAAGTATCAACGGCTCAGTTTACTACGTTATTTAGTTTAAAAGTAAGAGTCGGTGTCTTGAAAAGCGCACAGTGGTTTAGTGCCAATTATCTAAGTGGTGAGGATAAAAAATTTGCAGTGTGGAACGATGGCAGCAAGTTGCGGCCGGTATTAGTCCGAACAATTATCCGAATATTAAGATTAGTATATTGAACCAGTGACTAATAAAAATAATTACTTGTATATTTTATGTAATAGGCGTCAAAACCTCTTAAAACATGTAATTTTACATGTTTTAAGAGCATTTTTTATGGTTCCGTCCTTCCGTGTGGTCTTTAATCTAAAGTAATAGGTATATTCTAATCATAAAATCCATTTAGCCAAATAAAATTAAGCCTACGGGAGTAAAAAAGTAAACCTGTGTACCATTTAGTGATTAAGACCGAAAATAAGCTTCAACAAAATGGCTTAACTTCCGGCACACAGCCCCTCGGTGGGGACAAATATCCGGTATGACTGTCACTCTTTTTCATGTCATACAATTCACGCCAGATACAATATAATACCGGTTATCACACTGACGGTACGGGGTTGTTATTATAAAGTACTTTAAATTTTATATAAATATTATTAATATACACTGAAGACTTACCGGATGGGAGAAGAAGACATTAATCGACAATTAATTAAATTCTTAGAAATGAATGAATGTACACAGTACATGTACTGATCAGTTAAGAAAACTGTCTGTCTGGTGTAGTCTACGATTATATGTCAGATGTCAAATTCTCTACCATTGTACAGTTACACCACATAAATTGTCATCAAAAGAAGTCTTCTTTTAGCATTGTTAAAATCTCTCATATTATTACTGAAAAAAAATTGTCATTGTAGTCGTTGTTATATCCATTTGTAACCACTATCTCTACTATCAATATTTTAATAGAACGTCCGTGAATAAAAAGAGGTAACTGGATCATTTTCAAACGAGAACAAACACTAATTAACACTAACAAATACTAATTTAAGTAATAGTATATACTAGCTGAGACCCGCGGTGTTACCCGCGTTTGTTGTTATAACCGCGGGCAACGCCGGGCGAAGCTAGTCTAAAAAAAGTAGCCTAAGTTACTCGTTATGTCATCAGCTATCTGTCAGTGAAAGTCCCGTTTAAATCAGTCCAGCCGTTCCAGAGATTACCCGGAACAAACAAACAGACAGACAGACAAAAATTGTAAAAATGTTATTTTCTCATATGTATCGTGTAAACATACATATGCATTTAGTAAAAAGCGGTTATTTTAATATTACAAACAGACACTCCAATTTTATTTATTTGTATAGATTGTATAGATTAGTAACTATAACATTGGCCGTGTATTGTAAACAACATCACTGAACCACACCACTGGGTTGTCGTTTACAATTTATATATATGTGACCCATATATATGTTTACGAAGTGGGGTTCGAGCATTCTTCGGTCATTCATCAGTTATTTCGATAAGTAAAAAGAAATAAAAAACATGTTTGACTATACCTATCGTTTTTGCTGTGACATTTGAGAACGGTCTATAAGCTAATGTCGTATATTGTAAACGACACCACAGAACCATAAAACTTAGGTGTACGTATTTTTTGTTAACGACACCATTGCTGACTGGTGATGTATAACGTTAAATAAAACAATGCGTTGTGTTAATTTTGAATAATCATGCTAAAATCGATCTATTTCCCACTTCCAGGGATTCATAAAACATAACAATTGCATCCATTACGACAAAAAAATATTAAATTAATTTATAAAACTTAATCCGATAATTGTAAAATAACTATTACATTTTTTTCACCCCATCTTTGTTTCAGTTCATCTGCTGTCTTTAAAGCAACTTATGAAAACTTTAAGGAAAAGGCTTTTTAGAAGGCCATGACCGTGATCTTACGAATGAAAAATAATTGATATCGATAAATGTATAAGTTTTGTGTTAGAACTTCATTACAATGGTGTCGTTAACTAAAAAAACGTACACCCTTGTGAAGAATGGAAACGCCCATACGTGGTGCACCCAGATACCAAAGTGATGTAAAACACGGTTAAAAGTACACGTAAATTATATCCAAGTGTTATGAAACCTTGCAAACGTTATTCGCAAACATCTTACATATTGCAATGACTTTTCTCGGTTCATTTTACTTCTGAAATATATCTCCTTGAACGTTTCCAACATTTTTCACGGCCCGCCAAGAGTCATTATAATTTATCTGTACCGATATGTGCTGTGTTAATTTTCGAA